CATATATGCACTAATCTTTTTTTAGTCATTTTCCCCACTAATCTGAAATTCAACCCATGATCACTGTCTTTTTAGTCTGGAATAGTTCCTCAGCCTCTTCTTTTGTTTTTTTTGTTTTTTTTTTAAATTGACACTGATATTTTCAAAGAGTACAGAACAGTTATGTTGTAGAATGTGTTAAATTGGGGTGTCTGATTGCTTCCTTACAATCAGATTCAGTTTATGTAGTTCTGGCAAGGATACTACGTAAGTGATGCTGTGTCCTTCCTAATGCATCATATGGTATGAGTGTGCCCTAATACTGAAGATGTTAACTTTGATCATCTGGTTAAGCTGGTGTACGCCAGGCTTCTCCAATGTAAATGTGTTCTTTTCTATCTTTGCAATTAATAGAATATTGATGAGAAGATAGTCCAAAGCTGTGGAAGATAGTCCTTCTCTGTAAAAGATCTGCACTCAATGATTTTAGCATTAACTGATGATTCTTGTTAAAACAATTATTATTTATGTGATGCTGATTTTCTAACTCTACAATTACTTCTAGATTTATTGGATGACATTAATTGTAAAGAAGAGCTTTTCCTTTTCCTCCCTTCATTTTGTTTCTGTTTGCGTTAGTATGTATTCATGAATCCTTTTCTTGTTCAAAAGGTTATATTCATTCCTGTCATTCATTGTAATACTCACATGGTGTCCCAGATTTGAGGGCTCTTTTGAGCTGGCTTCTATGTCTTTTTGAAATGTCCCCATTACTTTTTGAGTACTTCCTTCCTTTCTGGCACAAGTAAGATATCCAAGCTCATCTTTACACAACTCTGGAGTCAGCCATTTTCCCCAGGAGCCCTAATTCCTTTCAGTGGTGAACAATATTTAGAAACCAAGATCAGTTGTGCTAATTGCCAGAGGTGGTGTTGTTTCTAGGCCTATACATACATGTATGCATATTATATACAAAATAAAATAATTAGTCCATGCTTTTATTGCTAATTCAATTTTTTAAAGAAACTCACAGGATTCTTCCTCTCTCTATCCCATTCCTTATTCATATCTCCTTTCTCCTACTAGGAAAACCAACTCCCAGCAATCTCATATTGATTCATTTGCTCAACCTAAAATACACACAAAACAAGTTCTAGAATTACTATACCCAAACCACTACCAACAAAACTCAAGATTTCCTTGCTTTTATGGTCATTAGAGTGTATTTCACTGAGAACATATAGTCTAAGCTGTGCTTAAAGAGGTTTAATTCTCCTTTTCCTCCTACTATGTGAGCATGTTACCAATTTGATAAACATGTTTGTTTCTGTTTGTATTCAACTTTAGGGCTTTTCCCTTGTCTTATTTTATTTGTAAAAATGTCACGGTACATTATATTTTTAAGATAAAATACGGATTCTGTGATAGTACTCTATGAAAATAATGTCTTCATGAGATCAAATGATTTAGAAGGGAAGGAAACAAACACGGAATCCCTACTACTCGCTGTTTTTTATGTCTATGACCACATTTCACTGTCACAGAAAACAATGCAGCAATTATCACAAACTCTACTTTAATGAGGCAACTTAGAGAGATTCAGTAATTTAATAAGGTATCACAGTGAGTGAAGGAAGAGAACGGAGTGTGAGCCCATGTCTGTCTGATTCCAAAGGCCATTTATTTATTCTCATTAACTAATATTCATTGAGTGCTTATTAAATTGTATGCAATGTGCTAAGTTCATTTAACCCTCAAGAAAACATCTATTTTTATTCACCATTTACCAATGAGGAACTTGAAATTTACACTATTCTTAGATGAATAGTTAAATTATGGTAGATCCTTACTATGAAATACTGTGTATCATTTAAGAAGAATACAATAAATCTAGTACAGTTTCATGCAAACATCTCTAAGCCACATCATTACATTTTAAAAAGTTATGTGGAGAATACATTTCTTTTTTAGACTACATAATGAATAAAACCAGAGCACACAAAAACATACATCTGAGCGTGCGCATATATACAGTCTATCCTCATTATTCAGATTCTGTATGTATGCATTTGCCTACTCACTAAAATATGTAACTTCAAAATCAGTATCTGTGGCACTTTTGTGGTCAAATACGTGCACAGATTGGCAAAAAACTTGAGTCACCACATGCATATGTTCTCAACTGAGGTCAAACTAGGTAATGCTCTGCCTTCTTGTTTCAGCTCTCATACCAGAAACAAGCATCCTTTTCACAGTCTATTTGGTGTCAGGTTCTTCACATCTTGTGCTTTTTGTTGGTGACTTCACTGCTTTAAATGACCCCCAAGTATAGTGCTGAAGTGCTGGCTAGTGTTCCTAAGTGCAAGAAAGTTGTGATGTCCCTTACGAAGAAAGGGACATCACATGTGTTAGATAAGCTTTGTTCAGGAATGAGTTACAGGGCTGTTGGTTGTGAGTTCAATGTTGATGAATCAACAATATATAAATAAGGTGTCTTTCCACTTATATGTTGATCGGTTGACAAAAAGGCTGTGACAAGAGTCTCACAGGAATCTAATTCTGTATCTTCATTGGAGCTATGGGTTAGTATTTACCAACTTAGTGTTACAGGTGACTATACAGAATATTACTGTGAATAATGAGAGTCAACTGAATCTGTATGTTTGTGTGCATGGTTGTGTGTGTGTGTGTGTGTGTGTAAAGATCTTCCAGATGAGTGGTTACACTTGAGGGAAAGGGACAGAGATTGAGGGAAGTTATTCAAAGAGAATCTTAAACTTTATCTATTGTCAGTGTTTTAAAAATATACATTAAAAATGGGTGGGGCTCCAGGAAACTCATCAACAGCAACATGACTACTTAAATGATAGAGCTAGGACAAAGAAGGTCATATTGATTCTAAATCTCATGTTCCTAATCACTGTTTCCCTCACTTCATTATCACCATACAGCTGAACGAGGAACTTGTCACTCAGTAATGCAAAGTGGTGAAGCTCCATGACAGGTAGTATAGTTAGTGATTTAGAGAATGAGCTCTGAAGCCATACTACTAAGTTGTGAATCTTGGTTTTGTTACTCACATAGCACTGTTCCTGGGCAAATTACTTTAGCCTCTCTGCATTCCAGTTTCTTCATATATAAAAGGGGGTCATACTAGTGCTACTCCATAGGGTTACTATGGAGATTAAATGAATTATAACATGTAGTGTTTAGAATAGTACCTGGCCCCTCAGTGAGTGCTCAATAAATATTAGCTATCACTTTATCACTACTACTACGACTAAAGACAATGACTGTTCTAAAAGAAAGTGACCTATTAGGAAGATACTTTTAAGTTAACATCCTACACAGATTACGTAGCTTTTCCTATTTATGGTAAAGAAGAAATAGCAAGAATTCTCGTTTTCTTCCTAGACAGAAGTTTTTGTTTATTTCTAAAATAAACTCTGTTACATAAAAAACACCTGTAAACATGTGACCTACAGACAGGAGTTTGAAGAAGTATCTTGCTGAAATCTAAGTTTGGCAGATTAAGCAAAAGAATAAAAGCTAAAAGGGGACAGTGAATGATGTGAAATTCCTAAGGCTCCTCATTCACGAATGTCAACACAGTACCAAAGAGCAATGAACTTTTAGACTTAAAATATTTTAAACATTTGTCTGAATTCATACTTGCACATCACATTGGACTATAAAACTTCTAAGGAGAGGTGTGAAGATCAAAAAAGGCATTATGTTTCTATAGACCAGATTTTCCCTGTCACATACCTTGCTGAAAATATACTCTTAAAATTAGCAAAATGTCTGAGTTCAAGTTAAAAAGTGCTGACAACCACCAGAAGCTCTAGGCTAAACATCCCCAAAGGTTATTTTTCTCTAAAGTCAGTCATTTTTCAAAACTAAGATGATATCAGCTGTTTATAAATCAGTTTCCATCTTTCTAATTCTTTAAATTACATATAACATTAGTAAATAATTTTATTCAATTTTACAAGATTAACATAAACTGGGTTAATCCTAAAGGGCGTCCGAAAGTTTGGCTGAAGCAATTTTTTGGAATGGATAATTTATAAAATGAAATATTCAGTTATCTGTACATGAAGGGTGTATACACCTATACATAAAGTAACCTATTAGATTTCAGGGTGGGGTGGGTGTATAGCTCAGTGGTAGAGCATATGCTTTTGGCATGTATGAGGTCCCAGTAGCTCCAACAAAAAAGAAAAAAAGATTAAAAAAAATAACCTATTAGATTTCAATTCTAAATGAAGTAAAGATAAAACAATCAGAAAATGAATGAGAACAAGATCCAGGTACTCTAAACAGGCATGAAACCTTGTGAAAAGTACTTTTTGCTTATAAGTAATATATCAAATTTTTCCTTATTAAAAGAGTAAACAACCTGAATTTGTTCATTATCCAAATTCACCAAAGTTACAAAGATTACATTTTAAGGCAAGTAATAACAGTAGTACCCTGTTGAACGGAGCACTTACTGAGTATTTTATTTTGCTGTCTTTCATAATTATTTAATTTTCTCAACAACTTGAGGTAAGTACTCTCATTACCTCCATTTTATAGGTGAGGAAGTAAATGATTAGAAAGGTGACTTGTTCTAAATCACTTTTAAAACTGGCAAGTAGCAGAGCTAGTATATGAACCTGGATTCTGATTCTTAACCACTACATTACACTTGTCTCTTAATTACTAAACAAACTGCGTCTCTTTAGACAAGGCAGGAAACAAAATCCCACAGAAATTTTTTCCTTTTTATATTTTTTCTATTGTGTTTGTATTGATCTCAGTGTATCTGAGGTTTATTTAGAATCCAAGTAAAACAAACTGTTCCTGAAAAATATATTACTAATAGTGAATAGGGCAAAAAAGAAAGGAATTAAGCTAAAGGTAAACTATTTGCTGACACCAGTCTAACATATTTTAATGACTGCCAAGAAATTCTTGTTCTAAAGCCTAAATATATGTCAGCCAGAGACATTTTAGTCCTGTTCACCAATAAAATAGAAACAATGGCTCTGGATTGCAGTATCCACACACCTATCAAGGCACACAGTCATTCAACTAAATGTCTATGTGCAAGTTCCCAATTCATGTATCACTAAGTCTCTGTTTCAAATGGACAAAATTCAAAATGGTATGAACTTTCTAAAATAATTCTTATACCTAGATTCTCCACCTCAGGGCTGAGATTTTTAACAACCTGAAAATATTTTTTAAAAGCCTTTGAGTTTATGGAATAGTGGTAAACAATTATGCAAATTTTTAGGAGAACCTATCAGAGTTTTGTTTTATAGCACTCCACTCAGTCCTGCCCTGTGGAATCCTACACATTCTGGAATTAGAACTCAGGACTGGAGTTGCCTTGATCACTAGAGACATCTCAGTTACTTACTTACTACAGAAAAAGAAAGGGCAAGACCCCAAGAAACACTGCTAGTCTTTCCCATACCAGTGAAAAACACCAGAATTAAATATCTGTTATTTTTCCTTTCAGGTATGCTTCACCTTTAAGAGACAAAAGGACAAACAATGAAAAAAATTAAACCGATATTCCAAAGTGTTATTTTATTTCAAAGATACAAGTATTTACATTACATATGCTGGAAAATTTCAATACTGTTGCTCAGCTCTAAGGCAAGTAACAGCACCAGCATTAATAAGATTAATAAGCAGTCACTATGTAACTGCATTTTATAAGGACAAGAGGAAAGCTGTAAATTCCCAAACTTCTGACTAAAGCTCCATATTCTGGAACTTCTACAGACTCCCTACTTTATTACAGTCTAGTTTAACTATTTTAATAATTCATTAATACTAAATGAGAGTACTACTAAGTGAACACTGATGCCCATATCTGGAATGTCTGAGAAACAGTTGAACTGATATCAACATACAAAAATTACTATTTTCAGGAAAGAGATAATTCATTTCTCTGCTCCCAAACATTCATTTCATTGCCCACCCCAACACCATTCTGATGACACCACACAATTCCACAAAGAACAAACTAAGAGGAAAACAGTTCAACCAACAAGTGTTATCTCATGGTAAGTGTATCAGTAATACAGCTTGCATTACAATGTTATACAATTTTATTAACTTTGATCAGGCTCCTATTGCCATCTGTTTGCATAGTAACCCAGCAATTGGTGTAATGGGAACTGCAAACTGACTCATAAACTGGTGACTGATGCTTGGAAAATAACCCTATAGCAGGTTATCAGAAATTTTGCATTCTACCTTGAAACTTGCTTCGTCTGTTTGGATGACATCTCATCTGATGTTTTATTTAAAAGAAATCAAAAGCCAACCACCCAAATGCTAGGGCATATGGCCCAATAAACTACACAAGAATACTTACCTAGAGCTGTGAAATCTGAACCAGATTTGAACAGAGCTGAAGCTAGGAGCTGAAACTGTAAAAGAAAAATAGAAGCAAATTAGCTAGGTAAGCACATTGGAGAAAAATAATTTCTGTAATTTTGACCATTTATTAGCCACTGGATGTCTCTACATGTGTTGTGTAAGTTTATTCACCAGAAAGTGGCAAGAAGAACACAGTATCTAGATTAAAGAACATGCTGACTATTTTTCTGGACTACTATTACCATTTTCCAAAATACTAGACCAAGTCCCAGAATTATTTTATTTTAAAGATATATTAAAATATGTATTTATTAAGGAGTAACAGGTCAACTGAAATAAAAAATTTACTATCAACTGATCCAGCAATTCCACTCCTGAGTATATATCCAAAGAAAATGAAAACACTAATTTGAAAGATACATGCACCTCAATAGTCTCAGCAGCATTATTTATAAAGCTTGATATGGAAGCAAACTAAGTGTCTATCAACAGATGAATAGATAAAGATGTGGTGTGTGTATATATATATATATATATATATATAATGGGATACTACTTAGCCATAAAAAATGATGGAATCCTGCCATTTGCAACAAATGGATCAATCTGGAGGGTATTATGCTTAGTGAAGTCAGACAGAGAAAGAAAAACATTGCATGCTATCATTTACACGTGGGACCTAAAAAATAAACAAAAGATTGACTATAACGAAACAGAAACAGACTCATAGATACAGAGAACTAGGGGTTACCAATGGGAAAGTGGAAGGGGGGAGGGGCAAGATAAGGATAGGGGATTAAGAGGCACCAATTATAAAATAAATGAGTTACAAGGATACATTGTACAGTACAGGGAATTTAGCCAATATTTTATAATAACTTTAAATAAAGTATAACCTATAAAAATACTGAATCACTATGTTGTACATCTGAAACAAATATATTATAAATCAATTATACTTCAATTAAAAAAAAAAGAAAAAGAAAATAACTCATTTAGGACTCTATCATGTACAGACTGGTGTCCTGTAAACAGTTACTGAACTTCTAGTAGATATGCATTCTCACTTCAAAAATAAGTATATGCTACTGTAAGATACCTGACATCTCTGCTGTACAAATCAAACTCTGAGGAAAAAGCATGGTTATTACATATAAGTCATTTCTAAATTACAACTTAGATTGGTATTCCACATGTACATGTCATGTATAATTATACTGTTATATAATTATAGGGGCTTACCTTCATCACACTGAAAAAAATGTTATAAATGTTGATTAGATTCCCAAGCTAGCCAGTTAGTTTAAATTAGACAATGTAAATGAACAATAACAAAATAAAACAGGACAAAACTATTGCATTGCTGGTACTTAACAAAATTGGTAAAAATATAAAAATTTAGGAGAACTATTTATATTTATCTTGAACGAGGATTCTGGAAAACAGGCAAGTTAAAGGAAGGTATAAGAATAGACAAAAGACACTGTATAGCACAGGGAACGATGTTCAGTATCTTGCAATAACCTTTAATGAAAAAGAACATGAAAATGAAAAATGTATGTATATGCATGACTGGGACACTGTACTGTACATCAGAAACCGACATATTGTAACTGACAGTACTTCAATTAAAAAAAAAGAAGAACAGACAAATGAACAGAATCTCAGTGGAATTACTTGGCATTTTGCAAGGCTTGAGTGGTTGATACCACTGATTTCTCAGGATTTATTTTACAACTATGCTTGTAGCGTTTGAAATTTCAGGTATAAATCACCTGACTAATGATCCTTTGAATGTCAGAAACTGGACCAATATCAGTTAGAAGTAACTAAGTAAGAGTTAGAAAAAAAGGAAATGAAAGGAAGAGTTAAAAACATAATGGAAGTTCTTCATACATTCTGTATCAGTCTTCTGTCAGATATATCTACTGCAAATATTATTTAATCTGTGGCTTGCCTATTTTTTTACAATGTCTTTTAATGAGTAGAAATTTTTTGCTAAAGTCCAATTTGTCAAGTTTTTTCCTTTATGATTAGTGTCTTTTGTGTCATGTCCAAGAAAGCTCTGCTTATTCTGAGGTTGTAAAGATAATCTGTTTTCTTGTTAAAGCTTTATTGTTCTGGGTTTTATATTTAGATCCATAATCCAGATTAAATTAATTTTTATGTTAAGAGTGAGACAGAGGTTGACATATCCAGTTATTTAGCACCATTGTTAAAAAGACTTTCTTTTCCCCATTAGATTTGGCATTCTGGTCAAAAAAGCCGACTGACGGCACGTATGTGAGTCTATTTCTAAACTCTGTTCTGTTCTGTCGATCTATTTGTCTATTCTTAAGGCAGTACCACAGCACCTTGATTACTATGGCTTTATACAGAGTCCTGAAATCAGGTAATAAGTATGAAAACTCCAACTTTTTCTTTTTTCAAGATTGTTCTGGGTAGTCCAGAGCCTTCTGCATTTCCACTAAATTTTAGAATTAGTTCATTTCCTCAACAACAACAAAGAATCTGAAACTGGCTAGGATATTAACAGGAACTGCATTAAATTAGAAACCAATTTAAGGGGAAGGGGCATTTAAACAATTTTTAGTCTTTTAATTCATAAATGTGATTTATCTCTCCATTTCTTTAGGTACTGTTTAATTTATTTCAATATACTTATTACTGCATATTTGATTATTTTTTGATAATATAAAGAAGTTTCAAAATTTCATTTTCTAAGTGTTCATTGCTAGTATAAAAATAATTGCTTTTTTACCCTATTGACTTTGTATTCTGCAACCTTGTTAAGTTCAATTATCTTAGTAATATTGTTTCATAGACTGCATGGGATTTTCTATGTATACAATAATGTCATCTAAAGACACAAACAATTTTACTTCCTCTCTTCAAATTTATATGCTGTTTATTTCTTTTTCTTACCTTATTGCACTAGCTAGAACTTCTGGCACAATGCTGAACAGAGGTGGTGACAGCAGGTACCCTTTCCTTGTCATAATCTTAGGGAAAGAGTTTAATGTTTTACAGTTAAGTATGGTACTAGCTGTATGTTTTTCATAGATGTCCTTTATGAAATTTCTTTATTTTTGCTTTAAGAATTTTTATCACCAGGGGAGGGTGTAGATCAATGGTAGAGCACATACTTAGCATGCACGAGGTCCTGGGTTCAATCCCCAGTACCTCCATTAAAATAAATAAGTAAATAGATAAAGCTAATTACCTTCCCCGACCAAAACCAAAATAATAAATAAATAAAATTAAAAATACTATTTAAAAAAAAAGAATTTTTATCATGAATGGATATTACATTCTGCCACAAGCTTTTCATTACTTATTGAGATGATCTGTGATTTTTTTTTCTTCATTCTGTCAATATGGTGAATTATACTGATTTTCAAATGTTAAAGCAAACTTGTACTCCTAGGATAAACCCTCTCTTGGCCACTGTGCATTAATTAACCTTTTTATATATTGCTGGATTCAATTAGCTAAAATTTTCTTAAGAATTTTGTATCTGCATTCATGAGGCGTATTGGCCTATAATTTTTTTGCCTGTAATGTATTTTTTGGGTTACTATATCACAGTCAAGCTGTTTCATAAAAGGATTTAGAAAGCGTTCTATCTTCCTCTGATTTCTAAGAATCTATACAGAATTGGTATTTTATTTTCTTCCTTAAAGTGTTGACAGAATTTCCTGAAATAGCCGTGAGAGTTTTCTTTGAAAGTTTTCCATCACAAATTCAATCCCTGTCTGTAATTGATATGCAGTTTCTTAAGATTTCCAAATTCTTCTTGAGTCAGTTTTGGTACATTGCATCTTTCAAGAAATTTTTCCATTTTCTCAAGTTTCTGAATTTGTTGACAAAATTGCTCATATCTTTGTGGTACCCTTTTAATGTATGTAGGGTCTGTAATTATTTTCCCTTTTCATTTGTGATATTGATAGTTTATGTTTTTTTAAGTCTTGCTAGAGGTTGACCAATTTTAGTCACCTTTTCAAAGAATTAACTTTTCACATTTTATATTTTTTTCTATTGTTTCCTATTTCATGAATTTCTATCTTCTACTATTTAGGGTTTATTTGTTCCTCATTTCTAACTTCTAAGATGAAAGATAAACTTTATTGGCTCTACATACAGAAGGATGGGGAGAAAACAATTGAATTTTAACAATCTAATTAAGTAAATAGCACTGATATGTACCAATCTAGAATTTTAACAGTACTAAGTGATAGCACACAATCTGAATAAAATCAGACCTCTTCCCCAAACTTTAGACTTGAATATCCAACTATCACCTCAACACCTCAAGTTGGCTGTTTCACAGGCATCTAAAACTAAACATATGCACATCTAAACTCCTAATTCCAGTCAGGAGTCCCCACCTTCTCATTTCAGTTGCTGGTAACTTCATCCTTCTAGTTTTTCAGGCTCAAAACTTTGGAGTCATTTCTTTCAAACCATTCATCCAATCTGTCATAAAATTATATTCTACCTTTAAAATATATTGAGAATCTGATCTGTTTTACTTCTCATCAGTTTACTGCTACTACTTTGGGCTGAGCGACAATCCCTCTTGCTTAGATTTCTACAACCTCCCTCATAGGTCTTTCTGCCTCCATCCTTGCTCCCTAGTCTATTCTCAATACAGTACTCAGAGTGATCTAAAACATACTGCAGATCATATCACTCCTCCGCATGCACAATACCCTGTATCAGCTCCTATTCACTCAGAGTAAAGCCCAAAGTCCTAACAATGCTTATGAAGTCATTAACAATTTGCTCTGTCAACCCCTATACTTACCTCTCTAACCTCATCTCTGACTACTCTCATTCTCCTTACTCTCTACTCCAGCCACAGTGGCTTCTGCGCTGTTCTAAACAAAGTAAAATGCTCCCATCCTAGGGTCTCTATTCTAGCCCTCCCTTTGCTAGGGATTATCTTCTCCAAATTATCTACTTAGATCACTCTCTCAAATCCTTCACGTCTTTGTGCAAATCAGATTTCTAAATGAGGTCTATTATGATTATCCTATTTAATAGTGTAACTGCCTGATTCTTACCCCTTATATTTCTTTATTCTTAATTTTCCTATAATTTAATTAATTCTAATGTACTATATACTTTGCTTTTTAATTTTCCTATAATACTTATCAAATGCTAATGTACTACATAATTTGCTTATTTAATATGCTTATTGTTTCCACCCACTAGTACATAAGTACTTCCTGAGCAGGTATCTTCGTTTAGTTCACTAATGTATCTCTCGCACCTAGAAGAATGCCTGGCATATTGTAGGGACTCAACACACATCTGTTAAATAAATGACACCAGTACTATGGAAGCTCAGCAGAAAGAGAATTAATATAAAATGTGTAATACTGGCTGAAAACTTGTTTTTCTTGTTCTTTCTTTATTACAGAATCCACTTTGAAAATGGTAGAATTGGTTTAGGCATCCTCTTCCTGGCCCTTTTCTAGGAAAAAATATCATTTTCACAAGCTTTATTATAGGCTTATCACCAATTTAGAACCCATGTTCTGGAGACTGGAGGAAAGCAAAGAATTATTTGGCATATAGCTGATAGTCCACAATCATGTCCCCACTAACAGGGATAATGATAAAGATCATGATAACCACTCCCCTAAAAAAAGAGGAGGAAAGTCTAAAAGTCACTTTAACTTGCTGATAAAAATCACTGAATATAATTAAAATTTTGTAAAGCATACATAGAGAATAAATAACAAGCCACTACAGAAAATGAGTATCAGTAAGACCTTTCTTGATAAGTGGAATGATTTCTTATAAGGAAAGCAAAGGCCTATATGTCTCATTAACAAATACTATAAGTAGATATATATACTAGAACTGTCACCAACAGATCTCTTTCCCAAAACAAAAGTGGTTCACACATTTTAAAACAAAATAATAATCTTAAAGACCAGTAATTCTCAATTTTAGGTGTGTTTTCAGTTTTCTGTTATAAAAGAGCAGACAGAGAAGAATCTTAGAGTGACAGTATTGTTTTGAAAAGTTCTAAAGTGATTCTGATGTTGACATACACACACACATCATTTTTACTAACTTCTACTGAGGCTAAACAACTCTTGATATATTAAAGCTTTTAAGAAATGGAATGGAAGTCTGTGACATGTAAAATCATAAATTGATACTATTTAGGAAAAGAGAAAATGAGAAATTCACTACCAAAAGAATCCTTTTCTGAATGGATCATGGGTTCTTGTGTGACCTGAATCTTACAGAATTACATAGAAATATGTCATTCAATTTTTATTTCATCTACTCTGTACCATTTTTAAGATTTTAAGTGTTATACTTTCCTCATTCTCTTTTAAACACCCAACAGCAAAATCAACAAATGTAAGTTAGAAAGACATTGTAAAAAAAAAGTTCAATTTCTGAAGTTTATTACCACATTTACCTCTTTTGTCTCTTCTGGGTCTGAATGATCCACAGTTATATAAAGATCGTTTTGTAAATATTTCAGAGCACTAAGGGGATCCATTTGGGCCTTTTCTTCAAACCTAGAAAATGTAAACAAGAATAATAATTGTCTGGAGTCATGAGAAAACATCAGGAATGTCTTTCAGACTTGGAGTGAAATACTGTGTCTGAAGAGATACCGTGGCTATCTAAAAAACCCTGTGTTTAAGAATCCAGAAGTAAGAATACACATATATAGATAGTATACATGTGGAGCTAAAGGGGATGTAATGGCAATGCCTGTGGTGGTGTTAGAGACTGGATAAGAGCACTTCCCATCTTCCTGTTAAAACTATAAGCTAAGATTAAGTCAACTACAAAACATACTGAATATGTCAAATATTTTACATAACAGAACTGTAAAAAAGCCAAATGTCTTTCATAAAAAACAAGTAGACAAAATTAAAATAGTTTCTTAGATTTGCATAATATACTTTCCACTGGAGGTACTTAACACTTTAGAAACCAAAATGAGTATGGTTTCTTCCAATGAGTATCACTTAACACTGATTAGCTATTTTAATGAGATTATTTTCCTGTTTCAGTCAGTAATAACAATAACAAAAACAACTTTTGTTAGCAGTCACTTATCATTTGTTGTACGCTAGACACTGTATCAAGTATCTTACATATAACACTTCATTTACCCTCACAGTAACTCTAAGCTGACAAGTTTTATTATCATTTAAAAAAAAGCAATGAAGTTGGCCAAGATAAGACCTAGTAAGTGGGAGAAGTAGAATTAAACACAGGTCTCTCTGATTCCAAAGCTGAAAAGGAAACAAGTTCTCTTATATTAAAAAAGTCTGCTTGGGATGATTTACCTATTTAAATAAAATAATTTCCTTTGTTATAGCATAATTACATATGGATTTATTTCTGATAAATTGGTATGCTTTTCAAAATATTATACAGAAAGAAAGAGAAGAAGGCATTTGATTTCATTTGGGAAAGGAAAATAGTGAAGAGCCTTTCACAATGGAATTCAGCTGATGGCATCAATAATTTCCTATCTTTAGAACTAATCTCAGTGACAGGGTAACTGCAGGGGCAAAGACTAGCAAAAATTACAGTTTTCTTGTACCAGGTAGTACCCCTGATTGTCAGCCAACCTTCCAATCCTCAGATGAGAGTCTCTTAGGTCATGTTATTCTACCATCACATCTACAATGGATTAGATCAGAGTTTTGGCACCTGAGCCAAAAGCAATTGTCTCAAGCTTGATCAGCAATTTATAAAGTGGCCTGGCAGAATTCTTTCCAACAGAGACACTCTTTCTAGGGAATCCTCTCTAAGAAGATATCCCTTTAGAGAATCTGAATGTGAGATACAAACAAAAAGCATACAAACACAGAGACAGTAAGCAGAAGACATGAGATGGTAGATTTCTTCCTTTCCTATCCTTCTCTCCCTTCCTTCCTTCCTACCTAGCTACCAACTGAAGCCATGAGGGAAAGCAGAGTCAGGAAGTAAGCAGTACAACAGGAGGAAAAGACAGAAGCAGAGAAAGGCTCGATTACAAGGAAAGCTACTACAGTAGCTCCAAGCTATCAGACTTGTTTCAGTACCCTAAATAATTCTCCACTAGGCCTCACTGTTCAAGTGCTGAGGAAGTACCTTAATTCTCTGGATATTCTCATAATAAATTCTTTTTCACTGAGATATCCTAAGTATGTCTTTATCCTTCATAACCTGATAACTAACATACACCTACTCCTATTAAATAAATCCAGCAAAGAGATCCATTTTCCTGGAAATTATGTTTTCTCTTTTCTTTTTCTAAGCTTTTTTTGGCCTGCAAACACATTACTGGACCTGTGCCTGTGGTCTAGAATTACATTTCAGCCAACAATTCTGCCCTCTACCTAAAGGAATAGGTAATAATCTAATAATCCTGTTAGATTTTTCTCCTTTTGCCCCTTTCTACCCACCAAATCATCAATAAGTTTGGAAACCTCAATGCTATAGGAAAAAACAATGGCATTTTATTTACTGCATATGGCACACCATTAAGAACAAAGACACTCTCTTGGCATCCAGTGTACTTCTCTCCTTCCAAATTTATACTTCAGATAAACAGTAGCAAATTTGGTGTTTTGCCCTTGAAATTAAAAGCATGCCATAATATTTCAGATTCCCAAAAACTGTCATTTCACCTGCCCACTAATATATTTCTAAAGGAGAAAAACAACTGCTAAAGATCAAAAATAATAATACTTCTCAGAATGGCTTGGCTATGGGAAAATGAATAATTCTATTTACTTCCAGAAGGAATGAAAATTAACTTTCTGGAGGGTAACTTATGATCCATCAATTCTACTGTTATCCTACAGGATTTTTGGATGGGGTGTATACAGAAGTACATAATAATATTAACTACAGTGTTATTTACAATAGCAAATAAATTGGAAATAGTCTAAATATTGTAAAAAAGGATACTATTTACATAAATTACACAGAGCACAACACTATGCAGCCATTGTAATTGATTTGTACTTGTATTTATTAACATGGTAGTAAGATGTTTATAATACATCACTCACTAAATGAAATCAAATTCCAAGCAGGATAATCTCTATTTTTCAGGTAACAAACAAAAACTTATTTGTGTCCACATAGTTTGAAGGATATACACCAAAATATTGTTATTATTTCTAAGTGGTGGGATGAGGAATGATTCAATTCTTCTTGGTGGGGAGAGAGGCTTATTTTTCTTTATTAATCATGCATTACTTTTCCAATTAAAAGTCGGAGGACGGTGATGGGTATAGCTTAGTGGTAGAGTGCATGCTTAGCATGCACGAGGTCTTGGGTTCAATCCCCAGTACCTTCATTAAAAAAGTAACAATTAGAGCTTCCACTTAAGATGGCAGAGTGGTAGGATGATGAGCTCACCTCTCCTCCCGACTACGATGAAACTACAACTGAATACTGATCAACCATCGAGGAAAAGACTGGAACCTAGCAAAAAAAGATCTTCTGCAACTGGAAACATAAAGAGGGAAGCACAGCACGACAGTAGGAGGGGCATGCTCGCGATATAATTGGGCCCCATACTCCCTGGGTGGGCAACCCACAAGCTGAAGAATAGTTAAATCGCAGAGGTCCTCCCACAGGAGTCAGAGTTCTAAGCCCCATGTCAGGCTCCCCAGCCCAGGGTTCTGGCATTGGGAGGAGACCCCAGGACATCTGGTTTTGAAGGCTAGTGGGGCTTGTTGCCAGGAGCCCCACAGGACTGGGGAAAACGGAGACTCCATTTGCTTGGGAAGTGTACGCGGAAACTTACGTGCATCAGGTCCAAGGGTAGAGGCAGTGATTTCATAGGAACCTAGGCCAGGCCTGCCTGCCTTTTTTGGAGGGTCTCCTGGGGATGTATGGGAAGGCTGTGGCTCACCCAGAGGACATAAAAGCTGATGGCCAACATTCCTGGAGTGTTAATCTACATGAGCTTTCCTGGAGGGCTGCCATCTTGATTGGATCATTAGCACAAGACCTAGACCCACCCAACAGCCTGCAGGGAAGCCTCAGGCCAAACAACATACAGGATGGGAACACAGCCACACTCCTCAGCAGACTTGCTAAGCCACAAAGGCCTCTAGACACGGCCTTATCGACCAGAGGTCCAGACCCAAGCTTCACCCAGCAGTGGGCAGGCACTGGCTCCTCCTGCCAGGAACCCTGCATAAGCCTCTAGTTCAGCCTCATCCACCAGGGGCAGATACTAGAAACAAGAAAACGAACAATCCCAAAGCCTGTGGAAGGAATCCACAAAGACAGGCCATATTCTACACTGGGACTGGCTGGATCCTGACCCTTGGGTGACAAGAGGGGAGTGTACCACCAGGACACATAGGACATCTCCCACAGAGGGCCACCTCTCCAAGGCTGAGAAACGTAACTAACTTACTTAAAAATAAGAACAAAAAGATAAGACGATATGAGGCGGCAAAGGAATATCTCCTAGGCCAAGGCACAAGATAAAATCCCAAAAGAAGAAATAAGTGATGAGGAGATAGGCAGTTTATCTCAGAGAGTTTAAAGTAATGATGGCCAAGATGTTCAGAGAACTCAAGAGGAGTACAGATGCACAGAGCGAAGTCTTTAGCAAACATTTGGAAAATACAAAGAATACCCAAACAGAGCTGAAGAATAAAATCCCTTAAATGAAAAACACACTAGAAGAAACCAAGAATAGACTAAATGAGGCAGAAGAATGAATCAGTAAGCTAGAAGACAGATTAGTGGAAATCACTACTGCAGAACAGAAAAAAGAAAAAAGAAAAAAGAATGAAAACAAAAGAGGATAATTTAACACAACTCTGGGACAACATGAAATGCACTAATATTTGCATTATAAGGGGTCCCAGAAAGAGAAGAGAGACAGAAAGGACCTGAGAAAATTTTTTGAGAGATAATCACTGAAAACTTCCCCAACCTGGAAAAGGAAACAGTCACCCAAGTCCAGGAAGCTCAGACAGTACCACACAGGATTAACCCAAAGAGGAACACACCAAGGCACATAGTCACCAAACTGACAAAAATTAAGGATAGGTAGAAAACATTAAAATTAGCAAGAGAAAAGCAATGAATAACATACAAGGGAACTCCCATAAGGTTATCAGCTGATTTTTCAGCAGAAACTCTAAAGGCCAGAAAGAAGTGGCACGATATATTTAGTGATGTAATTCTTGGATTACAACCAAGAATACTCTATCCAGCAAAGCTCTTGTTCAGATTTGAGGGAGAAATCAAAAGCTTCACAGGTAAACAAAAGCTAAAAGAACTCAGCACCACCAAACCAGATTTACAACAAATGTTAAAGGACTTTCTCTAGTTATCAAACCATAAGAAAAGAGAACAAAAACAAGAAAGAGAGAAAAAAAAGACTTACAAAAGATTACTTTGGCTGTTAGGGGTCTTTTGTGGTTCCTTATAAG